AAAAAAAAAAAAAAAGGAAATCAGTTGTAAAGAGATAATTCTAAAAGCAGGATGAGAAAAAAAGCCATTATGCATAGAAGAAGAAATATAACTGCTGTATGATTCTCATCAGAAAAATGCAAGCCTAAAAACGACGAAAAGACATTTTAAAGGTGCTGGAAATTGTACACAAATGGTCATAGTGGCTTTCTTCAAAAGAGCCCAAAACTGGACACAACCCAAATGTTCTACAATAGATTTGAGTGGTATATTCTGGTGTATTCAACAAATTCTGGTATATTCAAACAATGAAATAGTGCATAATAATGAGGCATGAACTATTCTTCATAAACCAACATACACAAATATTAAAAACCCTAGGCTGAACAAAAGAGTCCAGATACAAAAAAGTACATACTGTATGATTCCATTTATGTGGAATTGTAGAAAAACTGTAATGATAGAAGGCAGATCATGATATCTGAAGCCCAGGGTCATGTGGAGGATTGAATAAAAAAGGGAATAAACTGGGCTATGAAGGTGATAGAAATATTTTATATCTCGATTGAGGTGGTAGCAGTGCCTAAACTGGTGCCGACCGTTGCCAAAATCATCTTCAAACTGTACACTTAAAATAGATGCACTTTACTGCACGTAAACTAGATCTCAATAAAACAATATATTGCTTAGACACACATACAGATAAAATATTTTTTTTTTCAAATCAAGGTAATGATAAACACAAAGTTTAGGAACATGTCTAACCCTGGGTTAGGAAGCTAGTTAGGAGGGAGTAGGGGATTAAAAGGGAGGAAATAATACACAGTTATATTGAATTACTGTCAATAATCTAGTTCTTGGGTTGGGTAATATTTGTCATGTTACAAGTAAACAAACCAGAATAAGAAAGACAGCTTTGTAGGGAGCAATGACAACAGTGAATCACGATTAATCTAATTCTATGGACCTGAGGTAAAGATTAAAAAAAAAAAAGGTAGTCACCTCACCCATATATTTCCCATGTCTCAGATGTAGGAAATATGCGAATAAATCCACCTCTCCGGTCATTTTCCTCCTTCACTCTCCGTAAAACTTTGATCTAGATGAAAAATAAGATAAAATGAGTATCTATTTTGAAAACTGGAATCCATGTGGCTATCGGACAAAGGAAGATAGTTAGGACCCAAGAATATGAAAGCAGCATGAAAGGAGAAATTAATTCCATTTAACATGTTCTTCCCTGAGAAAATACTTCTCCCACCTTGAATCTTTCTCTTTTCAATGTAAGACACGAGTTTGTCATAAATATTATGAATCACTCCATAATTTTTGCTAAACCCTGTTTTAACCCGCAAAGCCTAAAATGAATTTATCTTTACCTCCTCCATTGACAGACCAAGCACAGAACCACCCAACTTCCCTGGCCCTTTCTCCCGGGCTGAGCCCACGAGGTTTTTCATTTCTGCATCACTGGCTGAAAGCGGACGGGAACGCTAAAAAGAAGAAAATAAAAATAGTAAAAAAAAATTTTTTAATTTTTTTCATTATTCCTCATTTCCCTCTGTTCATTCCCTTAACATCATCTTTCCTAAGATATATAAGCTCAAATTCATTAATTACTTTCTGTAATTATCTTAGCCTGAAACCCTGGAAAACAGAAGAAAGCTAATAAACTCAAAGGCAAGAGGAGAAAACAGAATACTAAAAAAAAAAAACACTATGGGTTGAGAAAGAAAAGAGAAGAAAAAATGAGGTCCACGTGACTTTCTAAGCTAGTATTTAATCCAAACCTTGGTTTTAGAGCACATCTAATATTTCAAGGATATGGAAAAATCTGAAAATGCCTTCAACAGAAAAGTAAATGTGTATTTATTTCAGTGTATATTATTTTCAGCACAGGAGATGAAGAATTAAGAATTGAGACATAAGGCACAAAAACTAGGAACAATCTATTAACATCACAAATGAAAAAGTTGGGCTGTGAGATGTTTTACAATTTGAGTGGGAAATACCGAGATGAGAGTCATCACTGACACAGAAAAGAGCGTGGCCAAAGGTTATCACTGTGGTGGTTGAACTTCAAGAGGCCTGAAACACGAGTGACTACCTGGGGTACTCCAACAAGGCTGCCAAAGGGCCCCCGTTCACCACTGATCCCAGAAGAGGTGCTTGGCTATGTAATCAGCTTCTACATGATAATCAGGGAAATCATCGGAAAACACAAGTTTCAAGTGAATTTTGATTTTATGTGAGTGGAGAAACAGAAAGGTAAAAAAGGAAGTCCATATAAAAGCATGATAATATATTACTACTAAAACTAATGAAGTGACAGACAAAAATAAGACAAATCTGCCAAGTAGAAAGAGTAAGAAAGAATTCACCCACTATGGGTGCAAACTGTCCTCTTAATTCTTAGAAGTAATTTCAATCAGAGAGCAGCAGCCCCACTGTCAGGAGATATTATTTGTCTTTCTCTATTTGTAGAATATCTATTCAAAGGCATTTTGGTAACTAACTTTTGGCCTTTTTAGCAATATCTGTTGTTATGGAATGAATGTTTGTGTCTCTCAGAATTTCTCATGTTAAAGTCCTAATCTCCAATATGATAGCATTTGGAGATGGAGCTTTCGGAAGGTAATTAAAGTTAGAAGTCATGAGAGTAGGGCCCTGGTGTAATGGGATTAGTGTCCTTATAAGACGAGATGCCAGAGAATTTGATCTCCCTCTCTCTTCCCCAGCCCCAGCCAGTGTGTGCACAAAGAAGAGGCTATGTGAGCATACAACAAAATGGAAACCTATAAGCCAATTTTAAAAAGCTTTAGAATGAAACCTACCTTGACCAGCACCTTGATCTTGGACTTCTCAGCCTTCAGACTGTGAGAAATAAATTTCTGTTGTTTAAGCCACCCAGGCTATGGCATTTTGTTATGGCAGCCTGAACAGACTAATATACTCATGTACACAAATAGCCAACCATGAATGGTTTTATCTTTGGATACAACAGAGACCAACTAACCAATCTTCAAAGCTAGTATGGGAGTTATAAAAGCTATATTTTCTGATAGGAAACTCCATGACGGATACCTATATCAAGAAAAACCATGCAATCAACAGATGTAAGCAACATGTGAAGTGCAGAAGCTTTTACTGTGGTGTCTTCAACATCCAGAACAATACATTATACTTGGCATGAAGTAAATCAAGAAGTATTTGTTAAACAAATAAATACGTGGAAGTGCTGACACCAATCATGGTTAGAATTGAACTCTGCAGAAGGATTTTGGGAAATAGTTTTACTTCCTCAATCTCTGGGAATACATTAAACAGTAGATGTTAAAATGAGAGGGTTTACAGGTTTATATATTATTTGTATAAATAATGTAACCATTGTTTTAAAATCTTTAAAAAGTGTGAACACTTATTTAATGTATAATTTGGAAAAGCCAAAAATATTAAATGGATCGTTTGAGGGCTTTTCTCGTGATCACACACTACTTACTGTTTGCCAAAAAATACTTATCTAGTTCACCCATGATAGCATGTTTCTGATCATAAAGCCACTGGCAAAGCTGGGCACAGTGGCTCACACTTGCAATCTCAGCACTTTAGGAGGCCAAGACAGGCAGATCACCTAAGGTCAGAAGATAGAGATCATCCTGACCAACATGGTGAAACCCCTTCTCTACTCAAAATACAAAATTATCTGGGCATGGTGGCACATGCATGTGATCTCAGCTACTCAGAGGCTGAGACAAGAGAATTGCTTGAACACTGGAGGTGGACGTTGCAGTGAGCCTAGATTGCACCATTGTACTCCAGCCTGGGCAACAAGAGCAAAACTCCATCTCAAAAATAAAACAATAAAGCCACTGGCAGTTTGTCCCCTAAAGTTAAGTAGCTTTCTTGCATGATACTATTTCAAATTACATAAAGAGATAGTAAGCAATAAGCATTCATTTAAATAATAAAAATAAGCATTTTTATCAAGCTTTTAAGAACAGAAAGAATGTTACTTCGAAGGTTGATAAGCTAAAAGCTACATTAACTAAAAGTATTTAAAGAAAAAGTTATTAACTATTAAACAGATTTAAGGAATGCATGGGTGTATTTAAAAGAACAAGGGTCAAATCACTATTGAACAACATCTAATGAGAAACCCCCAATTCTTGGGTGCTTTTTAAAATAATTTTTAATATTCCTGGCTTCTAGAAATTGAGATAATGATGTTGTAACCTTCTCCTACTAACCTCATGTGGTTCCTGTAACCAATGAATTAGCACCCCAAACTCTTAAACTTCTCTGCCAATCACTTTCAAAGAGTTGTCTCCCATACACAGTCACAACCACTCCGTTGTTAAGCCTACAATTCCAGGTCTAGCTACTGTGTACATATGTGTGAACTGTTCGGGGTCGGGTAGAGGCATGTAGAAATTCAGGTCTGTGCTTCTAGGTTGGGTATTTGAGAGCTTTGAGAAAGGAATAAATGTGACCTGAATTATAGTCACAGGTGAAAGAAAAGGCAGAGAAAGAGAGAAGGGAAGAAGAAAGGATAAGATGGACAGAAAAAAGAAAAGAAATGCTTATGAGTGTCGAGGAGACACACTTGGAGATTAAATACAAAGGTAAAAAAAGGAATCAGAATGATTTGAAAGGCCATCGAGAGTATTACAAACAAAGGCAAAACAGTCCAAATGCAAGTCATTCTGTAGCTTTGCCTTTGGGCACAACAGCTACATCCTCTGGATAGCAGATATAATAAATCCACATATTCCCATGGGTTGACTGAATGTACTTAGGAAATAAGGCTCCTCTGAACTTAGAGAGGAGAACCACTGCCTCTGGCTAAAAGATACATGATTTAAATATCCAGTCCTCAGATAAATTTTAAACTGTCAAATAACTGTCAGGTTAAGAATTCTGCCATGCAACATGCACCAAAGATAAATTTATCAATAGTACAACTTATGATTCAGAAATCTACCCAAAGAAGAAACCTTACATATCTAACCATCATTGCTAAGGAACAACTGACTGAGAATGTGAAATTATTGAGACAAGGAACCACCAGTCTTCACTCAGACAAAGAAGTAAGAAACAGATGCTGAATCAGAAACTGATTCTCAGCCTAAAAAAAGCTGGCAAGTACCAGTGATGAGAAGAACTTGACAAAATGTAGAATGGAGAAAAATGGCAAGATATCCTAAAAATATATCATAATTGAGGGGCAAAAATAAAATTTGTTTGACAGAGAACACATGCAAAGAATAAAAATTTCTCAATGCAGTTTTACGAATTTTGGAATTCTTCATTAAAAGCAAAGGAACTAGAAATAGCTCAATTTATATGTGATACATTTTACCATCTAAAAAACCAAGGTAAAATCAAGTTTAAAGGCAAAATGAATTAATGCTATCGAATGAAAGAAAATAAATGGACAAGACCACATTATCAATAAATCTGAGTGGAAATGGACCAAAAAAAAGGCTTCTAAGAGAACATTTAAACATAATCATAATCAGTGTATACTTTGAAATTGGGCAGGGAATAAGTAGGCTTATATAACAGTAAAAAATAAAGTAAAATAAAATAAAAAGAATTATGTAACACCTAGAAATCTGGAATAAATGTAAGCCAGCAGGTCTGAGAGACATGCATTTTGTTATTAAGGAAAACGGCTTTAAAAACAAACAAACAAAACTTACCAAACCACTTAAAATTACATCTGAAAAATCATGAAGAACTGAGGAAGTACCAGATTAGAAAAACACCAAATGAGGTACTAATCTTCAAAAATGTAAGAAGTATGCTCCTGGTGGTTAATGCCTGGTAAATCTAACTTGAATCCCTAGTAAAATAATGAAACAAATATTAAAAGGAAAAAAATCCCTAATAATTTAGAGGATGGGGGCTCATAAAGAATAGTACGAAGAATGCTTTACAGTATTTATTTTAAAGCATGCTTTAAAAGTTTGATTTTTAGGACAAGAGCTTTAAAAGGGGAGCTATAGCAATATATTTAATGTCTTTGGATTTTAGAGAAGCATTTGAGAAAATTTTATAACATTTTTATTCTAAATTATATATCAAGGGTTACTGCCAGAATATAACACATCAACAAAAACTAAAAACAGTGTAACTGTAAGATAAAGTAAACAGCAATGAATCAAGTTAGGAAGGGATTTCTAAAATGGGTATTAACTAAGCTCTGTTTAAAATTTTCATTAATGTCTGGAAGGAAAAATAAACAAAACAGCATTTTTGGATGATAGCAAATGTGAAAAACATGACTACAAACAGGTGAACATCAAAGTAACGAGATCTTCACAATGGGAAAATCAAGATGCAAAAGTGTGAAGGGGAGTAAATCTTCTTAGTATAAACTACATGTCTAGCATTTATCCTGAATATTTTATCTATGTTTTATCATTTCTTTCTCACCATAACTCTATGTATAAATTATTGTCCCCATTTGACAGATATGGAATTGAGCCTCAGAAAGGTAAGAGAACTTGCCCAAATATCTAATTACTAGTTATTAGAAGAGCTCAAATTTGAATTCAGGTCTATCTGACTGAAAAGGTACATGTTTTTTCCATAATACCATGCAATACAATTTCTGGTGAGTGGAAAATCTGAACCATAGACATTAAAGAGAAGGGAGAAACATAGATAGAGAAAATGGATTAAAAAGGAAAAGGCAGACAAAGGACAAAGAACTAAAGAATTCACAATCTGACAGCAACAGAAAAAGAAAGCTTGACACAATCTTACTGGTCAGAACAGAGAATTTTTTTTTTTAACTTGGCTCCAATGAAAATACTGTGAAGTTAAGAGTGCTTCGTTAACAGAAAGACAATGACAAAATAGAACACTGCAAAGAACAGTAAGAGTCCAAGAATTCAACACGTATAAAGCTGGCTGAATAAAGTCAGAAAGCCTTTATGTCACATTCAAATACATTACTACTAAAGAGAGGTATTGCTCTCCAACAAAGCTATTATAACCCATGGTAATCCAAGCAATGCAACTAGATGTAATGGAATTAAACTGATAACGAGAAATTAAGATTAGAATTACATATCAAAGGCCGGGCATGGTAGCTCATGCCTGCAATCCCAGCACTTTGGGAAGGCCAAGGTGGGCAAATGGCTTGAGCTCAGAGGTTCCAGATCAGCCCGGGTAACAAGGCAAAACCCTCAATTCTACCAAAAACACAAAAAATTAGCCAGGCGTAGTGGTGTGCACGTGTAGTCCCAGCCACTTAGGAGGCTGAGGTGGGAGGACCACCTGAGCCCAAGAAGTCCAGGCTGTAGTGAGCTGTGATAGTGCCACTGCACTCCAGTCTGGGTGACGAAGTGACACCCTGTCTCAAATAAATAAATAAAAATAAAATAGAATTACATTTCAAAGACACTTCTTTAGAGTCAAACGCCAAAGACTATAAAAGAGTACTCATTTCTTAACGTACTCCTATCAGTAGATTAGTTCCAGGGATATTTAGAATATAAGCTCTTTGCCGGGCACGGTGGCTCAAGCCTGTAATCCCAGCACTTTGGGAGGCCGAGGCGGGTGGATCACGAGGTCAAGAGATCGAGACCATCCTGGTCAATATGGTGAAACCCCGTCTCTACTAAAAATACAAAAAATTAGCTGGGCATGGTGGCACGTGCCTGTAATCCCAACTACTCAGGAGGCTGAGGCAGGAGAATTGCCTGAACCCAGGAGGCGGAGGTTGCGGTGAGCCGAGATCGCACCATTGCACTCCAGCCTGGGTAACAAGAGCGAAACTCCGTCTCAAAAAAAAAAAAAAAAAAAAAAAAGAATATAAGCTCTTTGAAGTCAACAGCCTTATTTTGTTTTGTTTTTTTTGCCACGGGTAGCAGCTAGCATACTTAGGTATTTACTAAATATAAAACACTACATATTATAGAGTTTCAAATTCTACCAACTAAGTACCAAAATTCATACTACAGAACCACATTAATCAGTTACTAAATATTAGACAAGGCATCCAGTAAGTTATTTTTTATTTCTTGCTTTCACATAAACCATATAAATCACTTTATCAGAAATAGTAGCTAAGAAAGTTACAAGTCAAGCATTCAAGCTTACCAGAAATTGCATCAGAGAGTACAAATGCCAAAATAAATATACTGGAGCTTTTTGCTAAAAAATAGTTGCAGTGACACGTTTATATATGAGGGTATCTATAACCCTCATACCAAAGCATCAAATAGCAGGCATAGGACTCCCACTGCTGGCCTATTACTTCAAAAAGAATTTTTTAAATCTGTGCAGAAGAAAGCGATGGTTAATCTCAAATACTGCTAACAGAAACAGTAAGAAAGCAAATGTTGATCATTCAGAATCTTCAGAAAGGAAGATGTTTGCATTTCAAAGGTAGCATCTGGGACACTATTATGGCAAAGCTTCTAAGATGTGTAAACTGCAAATCACTACATATTTGAAATGTCACCTATTAAGAAACTCTACAGCCCAACACCCAATGTGAAAACATTTCCAGTATTAAGCTATAGGCAACAGTATGTTTCGTAAGATGTCTGGAAAAAAAATGAAGTTCATTTGTGAACTACAAAATTTCCTTCCTGGAATATTCTGGTCAAAGAGACAGATATGCCAGTAAGCCCCTGTTCATTGTTTAAATTCAACTGCCTCCATCGCAGTATAATCACTATCAGGAAAAGAGGATCCCTAAGTTCCTGCATCCTCTACTCTTATATTCTATAACCAAAAAGACTTCTATGCATTTATTTTCATTTATGTTATTAAACTGTACAAACAAACAAAAAACAGGTACATAAAGTATGTACCATGAAAAACTAAAGCTAAAAAACTTTCCATTTGGAGAATGAAAATAAAATTTGAATGACGTCTCCAAAAGATCTAGAACTTACCTGCTTGGCCCTTGATGACTGTAACTGTGCAGATACTGGACGCTATAAAAGACAGAAAAATGGAATAAAGCCTTATCTTCTCCTAACATGCCTACATTTTCCATCTCCTAGATCTATGATATAAAAGAGGAAAAACAATCTCCAAGCAGAAACCACAGCAAGAGTCCTACACTTGGTAGTTGGAATGTTAGAACATTTATAATCTTTCATTATACTGCTTTCTCCTATGCCATACATATTCCAGCTTCAACTTCTCACTGCTGAGGGCACAATTTTACTGCCAGATAATGAAGACCCTGAAGTCAACTAGTCCACCTGACAAACTGGTTTCACACACTACACATAACAAATCTACAGTTCCTTTAGCCTTTATATAAGTGTCCTGTAGGCTGCTTATGGATGAAATCATGCCATTACCTACCAGTTGGCAAAACAAGCATTGAATAGATTTTCTAGAGTTTGCAAAGAGTTGCCAAAAAAGCTAACAGGCAACCTAAGAAAAAGGATCCATTCATCCAAGGTTGGCAATACAGCTACCTCTAGAAGTGAAACTTGGCAGAAACTGTGTTAAAGCTGCACAGAAACGTTCATGCTCCTTTATACATAATCCTGTGGTTCTTGCCACAGATACTGCAGGAAACAATTTACAAAGGAATGTGATTGTCTAAATTAAGTTTTCCTAGTACACCTAGGTTAATCCTCTACTTTTTCTTATTAAAAATTAAAGAAAACCCTTTGATCTGTGATACTGCACTGATCAAGTATAACCCTGGTAACTGATTTTATATCTAATCCAAGATAATAGCCCTTAAAATACAGTACACCCTGTTCCACATCCCAACACTAATTAGAGAGTAATTCTACAGCATGGGGTCACAGATAGGCAAAGACTGAATCCAGCTCAGAGACATATTATGCTTGGCCTGCAAAGTATTGTTTCTAATGAACTAGCTGCCAATATTTAAAGTAAGATTTCTGATTTCTCTTGACAATAGGAAGATCGCGTAACACCTGGCCCACACTTATGCATGACAGTAATTGGCTGGAGCACATTAGTAAAACAGCCACCCCTTTCAGATGAGGTGTGCACTCTCTAGTTTACCTCAGTCACATCACTCTTAGCTGTATTATACCTGCCTCTATTTACTCATTTATATTACCTGCCTGAAGGCCCTCTAGGCGTTTGAGTTTGAAAGCCCTGTTCTAATAAAAAATTATCTGAATAAATAATAGTATATGAGTTTGGCAAACAGAAAATAGCACTACTGCAAATGAGACCAGCAAGCAAAAGGAACAAGAGGAGGAATGGGAGTAGAAGAAGGGAGGAAAAAAGGGGGGAGTCGAGGGTTAAAGTGTAGTTGGGGCAGGGATAAAAAGAGAGAAGAAAAGGAAAGAGAAGATGGGGAGCAGGAAGAAAAAGCTGCTTATGCCTTCAAAAAGCCTACAATCTGGCAGAGGAGTACAGGACAATTTAAAAGCAACAAATCAACAAACGCAAAACAATGTACTATAGAACAAGTGAATAATATTAAAATGAAAAGTAAAGGTCATGATGAATTTAATAAGAAAAGACTTCCAAAATGTCTGAGCAGGCAAAGTAATCGAACCAGATGGGAAGAGAAGAGAAAGGTGGGTTTTTTTTAAATAAGAAGAAATGTTAAAGGCCAAGAAACAAAAGTGGAAAATTAGCAGAGTCAAAATAGGCAGGGACTGACAAGATGATGGAATGAGTAAACAGAAGGATTGGCTGATTGGTTTAACTGGAACAAAAATGCAGAGTACACAAAAACTGAAGCAGTGCTTCATCAAATGATATTTTAGACATGTATAAGTTTCTTTGGGCTTTTACCTCATTTAGCCTCAATCAATAACTCATGATCATGGAGGGTCCGAGGAGAATTACTTGTAGAGAAGATACTATTTCAAGAAAGCATCTTCTTTACAAAGCTAGTCTGAAGACCGGAAAGAACACAGTAATGACTAAGAATTAGTAGGCTTCTCTGTGCTTTGTTTCTGAGCACATCAATCTGAGGTGGAAAAAGGTGATTTTTAAAAACAGAGAGAAGGAAGATAATGAAAAAAAGAAGCCAAGATAAAAGACAAAACAAAAAACAGGAAGTAAGTTTGTCGGAAAACATTTAAAGCACAAGCTGTTAGCCACAGCTGAATACAACTGCCTCCTATCTAAAGTGATCCCCAAATTCTCCTGCTCTAAGTGACCTCATCCACAGTACTTCAGCTCCCTCAGTTATATCAGCTGCCACTTCCCAGTAAGCTGCCTTCAGGCTCCCTGCTGTGGAATTTGCTTACCTGAGGTTTCTGGAAAGGGTTTCGCCTGGAAGACTCAAAGGTGGGATAAACTGGCCGGGCTGATGCTCGCTGGGCAGGATCTTGGCACACAAATCCTGAATGGGGAATGGGCAACATTAAAACCTGCCATTTTCTAAGAAATTAGCAGGTCTGACTACACCTTTTCTTTAGATATACAGACTCAGTTTCACTGTCATAAATATTACAGAGATCTAACCTCAGGAGGGTAACGCACAACTCTCGCACACACATACTCTGATTGAACTCCGAACCACCATAATTAGAGAGAACAAGAAAAGGGAAATATGCAGATAAATTAACCTTGCTGGTTGGGTAGCTGAAATGTGATTCTGAGTGAGAAAGAGATGTAGATTTTTGATGAACCTAAAAACAACCGTAAATCACCACTTTAAAACACACGGTTGTTAATAAAAACAAGTTACTTTAAAGTGGCTACCTGGATGATGACTGGAAAATAAAGTTATTTTTACAGGGAAAATCCAAAAGCAAGTTAACAGTCTTGTCTTGTTACATGATCTACTGCTGGAAATGCAGAAGGTGGTCTATTGGCAACTTTCAAAATGGGCTTTGTAGATTATCTACAGCTTTGGAAATTGGACTTCGGCTAATTTCACTTTCTTCCTAAAAAGAAGCAGATTCCCATCCAAAGAGAATAGAGTAGCTAAGTTTTACAGCATTTGCTGGTACATCAGGTACTAGCTCATCGCAAATATATTTTATTAAGTCTTTTTATAGTTCTTAAAAAAACAACAAACCCACAAAATACCCACCTGACTGCTCATCTCCATTTCAAAGTTTTGGCTTATCTACTCAAAATGGGATTTCTTCTTTGGGCTGCTTTGGCTATAACTACTACAGAAGGGATCACATTGAGACCAGTAGAGACTGTCTAGCAGAAATATAGCCAGTCTCCTTTGTAAGGAGGCTTCTTCAGTGGGTTTTAATTTCCCAGCTTGGAGATAAAATACACTTTCTCCAGATCTTTGCTAATTCTCTTTCTCAGCTCATAATTCCTGTGCCCCAGGTCTCAGCCTTAGTTGCGGTTCAGCCTCAGGACAGGATGGAGCCAAGGGGAGTAGAAACATATAAACATTTCCCTGAAAATATAATTTTTTTTAGTACAAAACATTCAGCATGGCTTAGGAACTGCCAGTTGGCAAAATCTATGGAGTCTGACAAAATGGACACTCCGGTTAATTTTTATATCAGTCCAGTTCAGAAAACACTACTACTCACCTACAACAGTGAACATATCTGAAATCATACTGGCTTTAATCTTTAGGTCCAGAGGTGCATCACTAACAGAAACAAAGAAAGAAAAGAGCAATTGATAAGTGTGTAGGTTAAAAGGATAGCCACCCTCTAATGGGCCCCAATATGGCAAAGTTTCCAAATGTCAATGAAGAGCAACACATAAAGCCCATAAAATCCATGGGGTGGGGAATCTGTGCACAAATATGAGAAATGAAATCCTGGTGTTCAGTTTGTCCTCTGTAATGCAAACCCAGTACCACGCATTGATTCTCTAACATGCAATTTTTTTTATACCAGAAGGCCTTGTGCAATTCAAATTTTGCAGAAGTCAAGAATACTGCTTCATTAAAACTGTGGATTTTAGAGGTTCAGACTTTCAGTACGCTCTTTTATGAGTGTGCCCACCGTTCAAATTACTTTTCACTGCTGTAACAGTCAAGTCACATTCACAGGCAAGAGAAGCAACTTTGTACTTTTTTAAGTCTTTATTTTCTGCTCTAAAACAACCTTCTTAGGCTTGCAGGCTTGCAAATAGGGCAAAAAAACAAAACAAAACAAAACAAGTCATACCAAAATCTCACCAAATGATACAGCAGAAACCCACATGAAAACAAAAGCAAGATGGACCAAAAGCAAGAAGCCTCCCTGTGGCAGTGACTGCCACACTGGCTTCAGCGTTGAGGTGTTCCTCCATGAACCAAACGGCTCTGCCTGCTATACTCAGTGCCTCATTCTGGGGATTTCTAACTTCTGAAGTATAGTATAATACACTTTACTGTGCAATCTGCAAAAGGCTGACTTGACGAAAGTTGCATAACACCTGAAGCATCTGTAATATCTAGCTCTACACCTTACTACGGAGGTTAAGCCAAACTCCCACTCCAAAAGTAGTCAATCTGTCTTTATTTGATTACTTGGCACTTTGCCAGTATCTCTCATCCTTAAAAAGTCAGCAGCTGGGTGGTCTCTGGCATAAACCTCTGGAGTTCTCTGTTTAGAGAAGTATACAGTGAACAGAAATTCTGGCTGTAGCTCCAAATATAATAATAATCTTCTCTGGTATTGAAAAATATGTTTCTTTTCTTCTTCTAAACAATAGGTTAGTTAATAAAAATTTTAAGTTGTTTGAAGTTTTTGACTTTAAACTTGGATGACTTTAAACATCGGACAGGGTAAAAGCACCACATATTATCTACATGGCCCTAGATCCAGCTTTATATCTTTTTTTTTTTTTGAGGCGGAGTTTCACTCACGTTACCCAGGCTGGAGTGCAATGGCGCGATCTCGGCTCACCGCAACCTCCGCCTCCTGGGTTCAGGCAATTCTCCTGCCTCAGCCTCCCGAGTAGCTGGGATTACAGGCACACGCCACCATGCCCAGCTAATTTTTGTATTTTTAGTAGAGACGGGGTTTCACCATGTTGACCAGGATGGTCTCGATCTCTTGACCTTGTGATCCACCCACCTCGGCCTCCCAAAGTGCTGGAATTATAGGCTTGAGCCACCGCGCCCGGCCCCAGCTTTGTATCTTTATAGTATATGTGGATTTGAACCCATAAAGCTTTTGGTAATGAACGAAATATAATACCTTACATATTTCCTTAGCCTTAACAGAACACCTACTATTAAAAAAAAATCCAGGGATAAAAATGAATGTAAGAATCATCCCTTAGAAGCCTAATAAGCAGGAATCATGTAATTGTAAATTGACTAGGAAGACAAAGATCCATGATTCCCATATAAACTTTGATATTATGCCATAAACCAACTAATTTAAGAAAGTCTGGTTATCTCTAATAACTAGGAAAAAAAAATAATCGTCTAGTACCAAGAGAAATGACTCCAAAAAAAGTGTTTTAAATATTTCTTGAAGGTTTGTCCTTTTCTAGTAGATGGAACTGACTTACCAGGCCAAAGAAGGAGAGAGATTCACTTCCAACAACCATGGCTTCAGAGTAGAATCTATGAGCACGTCAAAGCCATAGAGTTCTAGAAATACAATACAAGACAATACACAAAATCATTTTCCATGTCACGACCACACAAAGATCTAAAAGATTCAATCTGATCAACTCCCAGGCCTAGAAACTCACTGAGTATAAGCAGTAAGTGGAAGTAGAAACAGAGAATCTTTCAAGAATCTTCCAAGTATCTTTCAAGTTCAAAAGAAATTAATCAAGTTCTAGGATAATAAGAAAACAATGCTATACAATTCCACTGTTTTTATCATGACTGTCTATTGATGTTCCTAAGTCCTACGTAGAAAGTGACCTGACTCTAGAATAGTTAACTAATATGATTGTGCTGTGCTTACGGGCAAAAGAAAAAAAATGGAAAATAGAATGAAATAAGCGCAACCAACACCAATGCTGCTTTAGGCCTGCTCTGAATACCCCTCCCTCAACCCCTCCCTGCCAACTCTGAACATAGAAACATCTCCTGAAGTCATTTCTCTAGAATCCTGCCATCACATTTTCTTAAACCAAGATATTGTTTTTGCAACCTAGGTGAAGAAGACATCTAAATGTATTTATTCTTTCCCCTCTCCTAGAGTTTCAATTTCCCTTTGAAGACAGAAAATAAAACACACTGCCCCAACAAGAACCAAAAGACAGGAAAGGAGAAAGCCAGTGGTAGCAGAGCCCAGGTGTGACAAGCTATCTTGCACAACTAACATTATTTAAGGGTGGGGGCCAGAGATCAAGTTTTTGGATTCTGTATTGATTCTCTTCTTCTACCTTTCCAACTGTTGCAAAGAGAAAGCAAGACTCAGGAGCAGGTTTTCCTTCCAGAATGCCTAGTGTCATTTAACAAGTTCAGGTATGAAAGGTTAACTATGGAACCCTTCATATTATTATTAATGAGAACTTCTCTACAAAAATCACAGAAGTGTACAGTCCTTTGTGTGTGTGTGTGTGTGTGTGTGTGTGTGTGTGTGTGTGTATACACACATATACAAATACATATAAAACATCACTCCTAAACATCCCATCCTGTGACCCTCAAAAAAACTGCTTATGTTTTTTCTCTAGGAATAAACACTACCACACTATCTTCCTTACTGTCTGATCAGAGGTCACTGGCCAGACCTCACACCCACAGAACACAACCAAGTATTTTCCAGAAATTAATTCTGATACAAATTTCCTTGCTATAAGAAGGACTTTAAAAATTTCTCAATACTCTCAGAAAACAGAAAAATAGACCCTAAAAAGATGGCCCAAAAAAACTCTTCTAGAACACAGGAAGTCTGAAGTTACATGAGGTATTAAGAATTCTAGAATGGGAATCTGGAGACCTAGTTGTCCCCATAATTCTACATCATGTCTACATGATTCTACTGGAACTTGGGGAAACCATTTTTCTCTCTGAGATTTCTTGAGCACCCTTTGATTTCCTTTGGCCTCTTTATTAATCACTGTTTGTCAATATCTACATGCTATTTACATATATATGGCAGTAAGAACTCAGACATGCATATTCTAAGATCTTCTAGGGAGAAGTTTCCATGAATGAGTTGACTTCCATAGTAATTATACGGGATTCCATTTAATTTGCAGAGATCATCACAAACTATACTAGAGTTTGAGACGGGATTCCCCTTCAAGTAACTATACAAAATTTGTATATTATCTATACTTTAAAATGTAAAGAAACAGAAGAGATTTCACCTATCTTCTTTTGGTAATGAATTCATAGCTTTTAACAGCTAATACATTCTTCTGAATAGCTGATCTTATCTTCAGTAATCTTGTAAAATATTGCCCCTTTAACCTGAGAAAAATCATTTTTGATATAGCACTAAATAAGGCATTTAAAAGGAAAATCTACTTGTAAAATCTGCAAGTCCACATTAACATTTTATATAAGCAAGAAAGACTATAATATCTGATTGAAGAAAAATAACATTCTATTCATTGTTTAAAAGCTGAAGCACAGGATTCAACTGTTTCATAAAGTGGTAATATTAATAATAGTAAGAAGAACAGGGTAAAAATAATGATTGATGCACATAGTGATCAGGTTTGCAGAATCAGCTACAAATGAAGATATATTCAAATCAGACTAACAATCAATGAAACCCACTATTTAAATATCCTGCATTAAGCAGCTACACATTTGCTTAACCATTTCCCCAAATCAGAGGCAAATTCCAAGAATCTCAGTTGACAGGCTGAGAACCAATATTTTGGGAAATATGAGGGAAGAAAATGACCTAGAGAGAAAACACCCTTTACAGAGCTAAATTAATTTTCATTTGGATGACTAAATCCTGTTAATGCTAAATAACCTCTATGGAAAGGGTACCCAAACTAAAAAAATCAAGCCTCAAATCTAACTACATCTTTACATGTACCAGTCTTGGACTTACTATCATTTAAGAGTTGAGGAAGAAATATATACCAGTATGTGACAGCATTATAACATAGTGCAAAACCCAGTTCACCTCAAAGGCTGGCATTAGGGAGAGGAATGGGATGGAAAGATAGCCTCTGTATAAGGCTTTCCTCTTTGAACATGATCAATTCAGCTTAAGAAAAATAATTTGGGTCCCTGGCAGGCTACTAGAGTCTTCATAAGAAACTTTTAAACTTATGATTAGTATTTGGTATTTTCTATGGACATTATAAAGATTTTTAAAGAGGTAGGTTGTGCTAAGCATAATAAACTTCCTTATCTTTTAATGTTGTGTGTTTTGGCAGCAGTAACGAGAATTTCAAAAATTCAGTACCCACAATGAGACACACCAGCGTTCCTGTCATGAATGGGTACAAGCAAGCTGGGCTTTTCCAGTTCTGAGAGCTCCTCTCTTTTTGTTTCTCTGTGTTGTCTTTATTATGACAGAAAAGCAACTATTTTCAAAGGACTATTGCTATGCCTTATGGAACATTTCCCCAGGACAATTTTCCTCAGTAAAAAATATTACCTTCAGCCCCAAACCAAAGCAAACTTAGCTCCCTACCTCTTTAATACAGTTCCTTGAAAAAGCAATCTACACTTAGCAATCTGAACTTCTTAATATCTGTTTATTCCCAGCCCATAGGAACTTGCTTCTGCTCTTACTCTAATAACTGACTATCCTCAATATGATCACCAAAGACTACCTTATTGCTCAGCCCAAATATCTGAAACTGATGACCATCCCTCGCTTATTGGAGCTTTCTTCTCCCTTGGGTTCCAGGACACTGCTCTCTTCTGATTTTCCTCCTCCTTTCCTTCCTTCTCTTCTATCCAGATATTCAATGGTAGGTTTGCTCAGGGTGACATTCTCAGGTATCCTTTCTTCTCAATTCTACTTTTCTCCTTAGGCAATCTCATGTATTCTCCTGGCCACAATTAATATGATGATAATGATGATATTCAAATCACATCTTTAGCCAAGTGTCTTCTGGACACCAAATCGATAATTCAAATTTCCTTCTGGACATGTTCACTAGGGTATTCCATAGGCATTCAGCACTCAACAAAATAGCCCTTGTTTTCTTTCCCCAAAACTATTTGGTTTGCTATTATTCTTTATCTTGGAGAATGGTATCCCCATCCACCAGACTCCAAACTAGAAACACTCTTCTACCACCTCCCAAATATAAGATATCACCAAATCTCTATCTCTCTTTCTTTGTCTTCAATCTTTCTCTTTAATTTCTCTCTCTCTCTCTCTTTTTTCTTTTTTTTAGCGAGTTTCACTCTTGTCTCCCAGGCTAGAGTGCAATGGCGAGATCTTGGCTTACCGCAACCTCCACCTTCCAGGTTCAAGCGATACTCCTGCCTCAGACTCCCAAGTACCTGTGATTACAAACAGGAGCCACCATGCCTGGCTAATTTCGTATTTTTAATAGAGATGGAGTTTCTACATGTTAGCCAGGCTGGTCTCAATCTCCTGACCTCAGGTGATCCACTCGGCTCAGCCTCCCAAAGTGCTGGTATTACAGGCGTGAGCCACCACGCCCAGCCAGTTTCTTTCTCTTTAATCTTCTCTATTCCCTTTTGTGGTATAATTTACATATGATTGAAATGGTTAGATCTACATGTACAACTTGACAAGTTTTGATAATTGGACATTCCCATGTAACGCACACGCCCATCAACCCACACAGAATGTTTCCATCACCCGCAAAAGGATCCATTGTACTGTTTCCTGGTAAGTACCCTGCCCTCTCCCCCATCGCTGACAACTACTAGTCTTATTCCTTTCACCATAGATTAGTTTTGCTTATTGTAGAATTCCATATAAATGGAATCATATGGTATATACTCTTTTACTCTGGTTTCTTTCATCTAGCATGTTTCTGAGATTCATCCATCTATCACTGTTTTTTGTTTCCAGGCAGGTTTATTAATGTATAATTTACATACAATAAATTCTCCCTTTTAAAGTGTACTTTTGGTGAGCTTTGACAAATATATGCAATTGTCCAACACCACCATAAAATATAGGACAATTTTACCAAATGCATTCCCTTGAGCCCCTTCTTCAGTCACACTCTCACCCTTGGCAACCACTGATCTTATTTTTGTCTGCTTTCTGCCTTTTCCAGAAAGTCAAATAAATTAAATTAATGTAATATGTAGTTTCTTGAGACTGGCTTCTTTCACTTAGCATTGTGCTTTTGAGATTCATCTATGTTGTTACACATACGAATAATGCAGTTCATTCCTTTTTAAAGCTGAGCAGCATTCCATTATATGGACACACCACAACTTATTTATCCATTCAACAGTTGATGGACATTTGTTTCCAATTTTTGGCAATTATTAATAAAGCTGCCATAAACATCTGTGTACAGGTATTCAAATAAACATATGGTTTCGATTCTCCTGGGAAAATACCTATAAGTGGGATTGCTGGGTCACCTAGTAAACATATATTATCACTGCATACCTCTTACCACCTTAGTCATTCCCAAGCACTTGCCTCTCCCAACTGTAGTTCATTCTTCAAGGCCATCAGAATTATACCTTTCTTAAAAAAACAAACTTAACAGTCA